TTGATTTCTTATATTTTTAAGACTAAGATGTATCTTACAGGTCCGTGTTCACATAAGATTAAGGTACACCTGAGTAACCTGTAAAGGGTCCGAAACGTCAATAAAACTAAATGCAAACGCGATGAAACGGTGTAAAAAATGTTTCATTCAAGTATAAAATAACTAACGTTTCCAATACGCTGGTAATAACTACATAAATTCAAGGACCTTGATGACGCTGAGGTTATTGAGTTTGGTTTTAGATAGAATAGTTAAGGGTCGATCATAGGATGGGTAATAAAAAAAATCCTTCAGAATGCACGTTACCGGCTGCATCTACAGTAGTTACCACTTAACTATCCGCACTGAGCTCGCTAGATGGATTATGGCTTATTTAATTAGATTCCATCCTTAGGGAAGGCATGAGCCCCAGCATTGGGGATGTTAATCTGCTGGTAATTATAACTTTAATACTTAATACTGAACATCACTACAACTTAGACCTCCTTTTCAGACTTTAAGTTATGTCGTTGTTATTATTTATTGTTATCATTTGAATCTGAATTTTAATGTTTTGAAATATTTACTGGCAAATAAATAGAGGTAGTTTTCCCTTTAAAATTTGCATTTTAAAATGTTGTTCAAAACTAAGTAAAATTATTGAACAATAATTTCTTTCATAAACTTCAATTTAGATAATGTAGTTCAATATATTCAATATAGTTCAATTTAGATAATTATAGTTTAATTCAATTTAGAATCAGACAATGTTGATACAGTTTATAAAAAGAACAATAGAATAATTTCAGGCACATTACGTTGTCAGTTACAGAAATGTTTTTATATGTAAAGTTAATTTTTATCACTATAAAGATATGTTAACTTCAATCCATTGTTGGTCAAAATATGTCAAATAAGAAAGAGGAACAGCTAGACAGCGTTGTGCTCAACGTCGAGTTCGTGACTGTTTTTAATACAGAATAATACTGCAGGTCACCCTTACGCAGCAAAAGAAGCTATTATGTAGATAATTAAAATCTGAAATATTCTGGTAATTAATCAACCATATAGATATAGACTAAGATATGCTCAAAAAATATGACATAACCAAAAACTGCTACAAAGTGGGAAGAACATAAATAAAAAACATAGATTTCTGGAACAACTTAAATATCATATGTATGTTTTATCTGGTATTATCATTAAAAGAAAGAAAATGTTGTTTTAATAAAAATTACAATTGAACTTTGGTTTAAAAAAAACCATCAATGATCTCAGTCAAACGAACGTTACAATAATATCTAATTTCAATCAATTAGCATATTTCTGACATTATAGTATGGATGTCATGTTTTCAATAATGTTTCGGCAAATTTTCCTTAGGATACAGCGGCAATTCCATAAAACATAAAATGAAATTAATAATTTCTGATCGGAGTTTGTGTTGCGGAATGAGAGATCGTTTCCAATAAACAGCTGCCACGTCGAATCCCTCTCAATACAATAAATCAATTTTACTGTTTCCGTGAAAAAATTAGGCGACGTTTTCATAATTTCAAGTGTTCGGTAATGTATCTGTATTTCATTTTAATTGTCAATTAAGAAGTTATCACGGAACTGGGAATAGACTGCGAGAGACTCTCTCTTATCTAAGTGAAAATACTTAAAATCGGTACTGTGATCTCGGAGTCTATTCGATCAAAATATAGAAATAAAAAAATCAAATCATTCCGTTATTAGTTGAGATTTTATTAACGCTATGGCTTTTATTATGTCAATAACTTCGATCAACAATACAATTACAGTTGTATCGTATTATTGTATTTCAAAATTTTATCAATTGTCAAATAGTAATCGAGTAATAATGAAATAGATTGCTATAATTTCAACATAATTTGAATAATGATAATTATTAATACGTTATTCTCAATCTCACGTAATCAATTATATTCGTACATTATAGGATACAAATTGTGGATCTCTTTAAAATTCAATTTAAAATTTCAAGTATAATACATTTATTTTTCGAAGTTCTGCTTTTCCATTTTCATTATTTTGCTCTTCACGCATTTTGTTTGTTGCTTTTGCTTGAACATTTGTGTCGTACTACCTATTTCCTTTACTAGTTATTGTCACTGTTATTGTTATTATTTCTCTTTGTTTTATTATTTTATTTGTTTGTCCTTTTATTATAATGCGCATTCAGATTTTCTATTGTATTGCTGATCTGTGCAAATTGAAACCTCGCTAGCAATAAGTCCATATTATGGGTACAATATATGTACAACAATTTCGAGAGATACGAATTGTTATTTATTTATTTTGTTTTGTGATAGAGAATATAGGTACACACTTATTTACATTCATAGGAGTTGAATAAATTACTATTAAAATTAATTTTATATTGTAATATTCTTACTACCTACACACATGAGTAGTCAAGCTACATAATTACTTTACATAATTATTCATAATTACATAATTATTCAACATGTTACGGTTTAAAATCAATGAGGAAATTTGACATTTCGTATAACCCGACGTCCTGTCAATTGTACATATAATATTGAAACCTATAATTATTTCTTATCTACTTTCTGTAATCGCCGCTTGGTCTCATTTTCGAGAAACTTATCCGAGTAACTCATAATAAGATAACCTTTGACTTTTCTCGTTCTTAGTTGCAACATATTTGAACAACCCAAAAATGTTGTACTCGAAATTCGTCTTGTATAAAAAGCACCTTTTTCTATCCCCGAAAACGCTTTTAACTTTTTTAACACATCTTCCAAGAGGCTCTTCGAAACGATCGATCAACTTTCTGGGTTCAGACGACGGCACTTAACACTGAATATTTTAAGATTAAAAATGTTTCTAACTACTAAGATATTAAATTACAAAGGTGCCAGAACCTATCTCATTTTATATCAATCGGCATTAAGAAATTTTAAAAGCAACGAATTTAATCAATGATTGGATTAATTTATTAATTTAATAGCAAGATTTTGTTTGGATCTTAAGTTTATGTTTGTGACCTATTTCAACGTTCATCATGTAAAAAATCACAAATAAAATATGCAGAACATACTAATAAATTCGTCAACTTTTCATTTCATATTTCACGATATATTTGAAAAGTACAATTGACTTCGCAAGAGACAGCCGATTCTCTGCTTTTAATTATTCATTTCACATATTTCGTAAATAGATATGCTGAGTAACTATGTCGTGATATCTCATCATCTCTCATAAGTAAATTTTAATGAGCAACTCAATTCCCTGGCTACAATATGGAGCCTTGCACCAATGGGATAAGGTTGCTTAAAAAATGTTTATTGACATTAAGTTTACCGACATGTACTGCCACTTCGGACAGATAAGGGTTTATTTCGGTGAATATGTCTGTGACACATATAATAATTGATTAATGTGATGTTATATCTTGTATGTTCAACATTCGAAACAAACTTAGCGACGCTCATGTGAACTTGTATGTACAAACATCGACACATGAGAATACTACAAAATGTTCAATACCTATTCCCATTTTAACTTAATTACAAACAGTTTTTTTTTTATACAACTTTTATTTGGCGCCGAATAATGGCCGAATATTCTGTTGTTAGGCCAGGAAGCTCGCCGAATATTCGGTATTCGGCATATGGCCGAATATATATATATATATTCCTTGCAAATCTAATATTAGACAAGATTTTTTTGCTTCAATTTCACAATAATCGGCTTAGATAATAGGCATTAAAGTTGAGCAGCGGAGGCTTACTAGGTCACAACTATGTAGAAAATGTACAAAAGTGTAACGTTATGTGACATTTCAGTGCAATGTTTCGTCATAATTTATTGATTACGCAAAAAACTAAAAAAGATACGTGTTAATTATTTTTCAATAGTCTACTTGATGGACAAATAATAAATTAGTCATTATCCCTATTTGCCATTCTTTGTCTATATTTACGTCATTGCTGGCCGCAATGACATAGATAGAAACAGTCTTTCGCCTTCACGCCCAGCCTTAAAATTATTTGAAGAAATTTAGTCTTTTGTAGTATCAGCACCATCGCGCGTACTCCGCTGAACTCGACAAACATTTTAACTACATTTACATGAGAAAAGTCTTTTACTTTTACTCTTCTACAGATCGTCAAGCTACGAGGGCTGATGTACTGTCGACTGTACGTAACTAACATCCTTTAGTTGAACTCAGTGGATCAATAAATTTAGTTATAATAGGTACAACCCTGAAGTGTATTAGCGGCTGAATCACTATGGATCTTCTTAATATGCCCTTATAAAGGTTTCCATACAGTAATAGATTTTAAGAATTTTAATTCTTTCCTAAACTTAAGTCTGTAATTTATCTTCTTGTTTAAACAGTCAAATCAGCTCAACCGCAAATGCGTTTCCCAATCTGAGGCAACAATGCACCCCTTACTGTTAATTTTCAGTTCAGCATCAAAATTACAGCAAGTAATGCCCGCACAGATTTAGATCCATAAAAATGAACACCACTTTTAAAATACTAATTATTTCAAAAACCAACACATAATAATTTAAGGATCCTTTTTTATATTACAAATAAGTTATTTACGGGGCCCTTTGATCTCTTGTTTAATATTCTAGAGGTCCATAGACCAGAAAAGGTTGGGGAACACTGGTCCATACTATCATATGCTTTTCACGTGTTCCGACTAGATAGATTTATAATAATGAATACTATTCATCGTAAGTTGTGGCTAGAAAGCTTTGTTTAAAAGCTGAATTAGATATATCAAAGAAATAATAGAGGAACACCACTGTATAACCAGTACAATAAACATCAAGAGACATATCTAACGCCTTATTCAAAATTAAAATAGAATTTTATATGGCTTTTCCAATCTCCGATAAAGTAGTATAAAACGTGTTTTTTTTCAGGTGCAATCATCACACGAGCCGAAGATGAACAACATGATGCAAGAGAAGGTGATGACGTTACTATGCAGTGCCGGTTCTCGCTAGAGCCGATGGCGGGGGAGTCCCTCACTTACTACTGGGTTAGAAGCACAGTCAGCGGTCATGACAACGTCGCCATTGGTAACATACCACTGGAGACTAATTATCAGTAAGTTTTACTTCATTTTCATATTGATCAACGATCAGCAGTCTTATTCGAGTCCAGCATAGCTCTGTGTCTGAAGAGGTTCATTCAAATAAAAATCTTTTTCAAAAGACAATAAAACCTCCATGCTGTGACAACACTAAGCTCGACTCCGATTTCAACGTTGATGGGAATATATAAAACTTATTTGTTTATTTTTATTAATATACACTTGATTGTACAATATACTAAAGAATTTTTTAAAACAATACAAACATAAAAATCATATTTGCACAATATCTTATACTTTTTATATGTTACTAAAATTATTATGACTTATGCAGCATTTTTACGTCCTCTCCTGCTCAGGCCATCTTTATAGATGTTTAAAGAGAAAGCAACAGAAAGCAATAGTTCTTAATAAATTTAAGTTCATTCGCATCGCCTTTGTCGTTCCTTACATTATAGTTGCTATTAACTTTTCCTTATTTCGCTACGGATTTTAATGCTGCCTTTACATAGGATAGAAAATTGACTGATGAAGGTTCCGTTTTCTGCGACTTTACCACCGCGTAAATTAGACCTGCGTATGATGTAGCGTCCCATAAGTGAAAGAATTTTGAAAATCGGTCAAGTATTTCAGAGCCTATTCAATGCACACATACAAACAATCAAATCTTTCTTTTTTATTATATTAGTATAGATTATATCACTATTTCTCTGAACACAGTTAGTGCAAAATTACTGAACGGATTTTCATGTAGTACTTGTGAGTAAGATTTGGCGAATTGGCTGAAGTATACAGATATAGTAAATTGCAACCGTATGGAGACAGGAGAGCTGTTAGTGAAAGTATTAATATTAGATATGAAGCACTATGCTGCGATAGGAAAGCGCGTTCAGATTGCTATTGTGAAGATTTAGCATCTTTCACAAAGGCCGGATATGGATGATCAGAAATTTATTATTTGAAACTTAGCTTTGAAGTGTTGTTAAGCCATTAGTGTCGTCATCGAGCTGTATCTGCATGAACAACTGGGTCTCTGATGTTCTTAATATCTTCCTAGAACAGGCAAAAACAGATGCCTGTGAGCATCAAAATAAAACGATACATAAGCTATCAAAAGAAGTTTGTAGGGATTCCAAGTAGTACCTCATTTGTTGTATTTGCATTGTTATTCGGGACGCTATAGATCGTTATCCCATCTTAGAAAATAATAGGCAGTACTAAGCTGGAACAATACTGATGTCTGTGGATAGAGATACATATTGTTTACTTTTAACGCTTACATAGGTAAAATTTTTGCCATTGTCCACTTTTTCGCTTGCCACAGAAACAGACTATAATATAATTTTAATCGAAATAATTCATAAATATAGTTTTTAGCAAAATAATACTATTAGCAAAATATTCATACACTAGGATAGCTGAGTAGCATTGTTTTACTAAAAAAAAATGGAAGATATTTTTTGCTAACAGATATTTAATGTGCACTTGGATAAATGGAAAACAGTCTACCGTTAAAGCTATGCAAGGAAAATAATCTATAACATTTTCTCTGATAAAAGCTTTCCGAGTTTATTTCGGAATCAAAATGGCGCTAAACATGTTTGCAATATGCATGTTCTCAAAAGCGATTATTTTGAGAATAAATTCTTTATGACGTTTAAGTTAAAACCATATTAAATTAATTTATAGTACATTTCAAAATAACTATGATTTCTAAATTTTGTTGTCAAAATTATTGTATAAAAACTTATTTGAATTTCTTTTCATAAAACTTTTTTTTACAAAAGCAAAGCTTTTTAACCGAATTGAAAATCTAAAATAAGAAGGTTTTATGTTCGACGGGTGTGTATTTAAAAAAAAAAAAAAAAAACCTTCCATATTTGACTATTTTTCTACACATTTATACTGAAGGTTACATTGATTGTTAATTATTATGTATTAATTATTAAGACTTTTTGTATATTTAACTGTTGTAAAACTTAGGTATTGTTTCTCTGGTTGAAACTTTCATCAACTTGGAGAAAACTTCAACAATTTTTTATTCAAAGCACAAGTTTTCACAATTTTCAAGAAAGTAATTGTTGATATAATAATAATTTATGATTTTTTCTTCTTGACTCTTTATTGTAGGCAACATGCAAAAATATTTTTACGAAAGAAATTAATATAAGTAATACAATTGATATCTTACAATAACCGTGGAATGACTTAACCACAACGGCCTACTTTTATTTATAAATTTATCAGTTAGATTTTCGTTTCTTTATTATCCGTAACCATAATTGGGTTGCGAATTTCTTGAACCATTGAATGAGTTATGAAACATTGAGCTTGGTGCGAATCGTGACTGGAACACTTAATCAAGGATTTTTTTTTCTAAATCAAAGATTCTTTTTTGTTATAATATTGAGTGACGTAATTTGACTCTAAGAGTAGAAGATTCGTTTTTATTAATCCACAGCTGGTAAGAATAATCAATTCGTAATTTCTTTTTAATATTTAAGTTCATAGTTTATCTTTGAACGAATTAAAAATGTGCTCTGTTCAATTATAATGAAGTCCTTTAATATAATAACTCATTTATTTATGCAAGACATGGTTATTAATAAGTGACTCGCAAAACGAGTTGTTAGACGCTTTACTGGGAATAAAAGAGAGAGATCCAGTCACTTCAACTTTACATTTTCTTCTTAGGAACTTTTTTAATAAGGTAAATAATTCATTCATCACGTATTCATAACGTATCTAATTAGAGTAATAGTTATTTATGGGATACTAGCGTTCCGTCAGCGGCTTCGCCCGCGTGGTCTTGTATTATACACTAGTGGCCGCCAGCGACTTCGTCCGTGTTTTCCATTATTTTTTCGCTCCTTATAGCTGCAGCGTGATGTTATATAGCCTAAAACCTTCCTCGATAAATGGTCTATTCAACACTAAAATAATTTTTTAATTCGAATCAGCAGTTCCTGAGATTAGTGCGTTCAAACAAACAAACAAACTCTTCAGCTTTATAATATTAGTACAGATATGCCAATCAGAATAAGGTACCTAGGTAGCACTCCTCTGTCCTAATATTAATGATCTCAATATCAATGCTTGTAAACCAAAGAGCCAGAAAATATACTATAACAAGGTCAATTTTGATCGGAGTTTTTGTGAAATTAGAAAATGACTTTGGGCACATTATTTTAAATAAAAGTGATTTTGGCCAATATTGATTTGTTGCCCTTTACTTTATAAACAGCGCTTTCTCATGATTGTTTAAGAACTAAGAAAATAATCTTATTTCTCTTCAACTTCTAAGAGCTTGTTCCTACAATTTCGTGGTATTATTATACAGATATAGGGTCTAAAATTACGTCATCGTTGTTTGATTATTGAATTCCACCCGGAGTTCTATTTTCGCAGTATGCAGGCTTTTGCTAGCAAAATTCTCCGAAATTATTATTGACACATTTCGTTTGACATTTACCTTGTGCAACTGCGGTTATGAATTTTGTAACTAATGATATTTCCTGAATCACTTCACTCCTCAATCAGTATTTATTGACAGACAGACTTGAAATGTATGAAGTTATCGATTTCGATATTTCGTTCATAAATTCTAGAATTTAATTGCAGTGTAATTTTAATTGACAATGTATTTCAAATTTCATTTTAAAGATTATTTTGAAAACACACAAACTTTAGATTTTGATCAAACAAACAAACTTAATAGGCGACGTAGTAATGTTGTGGTCAAATCATTTAGGAGTCGTACAGCCTTCGCAGAACGTCAATATAACAGTCAATCAGCTCATTTATATAATAAATTAAATAGAAAACTAAATATATATGATAAACAGTTGTACGAATGTAAAGACATATTAATAGAATTCTTAAAAACTATTACATATGAGGAAACTGAGGACATATTGAAAAGAATCAAATAAATAAATACTATGTATATATATTATATATGTAGATTACAACACACACCGACAGGCACAACACACAACACAATACATATACTCACAACACAATACACACACACAAACTAGCACACGAGTGTGCGGTAGCTTTTTCTCTTATTTGTTATTAGTTTAGTTATTAAGAAATTTAAAAAAAAGAATGCCAAGATGTTGATTATTGTTAACATTAAAATATGTACCTACTTGCCACAAAACTGGAGCGAAATAGTCCCAATACAAGTAATTTTATATTACTTACGGGGATAATTTCAAAATTGTAACTGATAGAATTAAAGTTAATAAAGATTTTTTTTTTTTTATTTCAGTATAAGGTAACTAAGATTTTCTTTTTACTTACGTTTATAGCACCTCTTGACCGATTCTTTGTTACTATGATACAGGCTGGCATATTTAAATCAAAAATATGTCAGCCTGTAAAAATCAAAAGTTGCAAAAAAAAAAGAGAATTAAGTTATATATTTTATAAATTTATGATGTTACAAATATTATAATCTTTGCATTACAATCTAACGTACACAAGCCTCGATTAAGAGCGACAGGATAGAAAGAATCCATACTACATTGTTTATTAAGAAGCAAATGGTCAATTATAAATTTGCACTAAAGTATGTTATTAGTTTCTTAAAAAACATTAGTTTCTAATGTTTTAAAGTATAATTAATTGCTCATACGGCCGGTTTCTCAAAAAATTTCAACTTATTATTCTCAATACCTTCAGTTTTTTTTTTACTTTTGACAAGTCCTAAAAGTCCTGTTTTATCAAACTACCATAAACTGATCATTAAAAAACTAAAATCAGAAACGAACGCCTGTTTAAGTAGAGTTTAAGATGTTCTTAACTATATATTCTCAATTCAGAAACCCTGTGATAAAATCTAAAACTGTCTCACTAACACATTATTACGTTAATTGATAGCAGTAAAGACTAAAAATTACCGAGTATATACTTATATAAGATTATTTAATGTAATAAAAAACAAAAGAAAAGAAAGAAAACAAAAGAAATAAGTGAAACAATAAATAATTACTTTCACTAAAAATGAAAAAAACAAGCCTAGTAGTTTGGAATGTTATTAAGTAGGTACTACTGAATAACTACTCCATTGAAATACGAGTAGTTTTAAAATCTATACACACATAAAACATATCTTAAATTCAAAAGTAGAATAGAAGGATCAGTCAGGACTCATTCCATTTTGACCAATCAACGGAGCCCCCTATAATTTGAATAGATCCCGACTGTTGATACTGCTATTTTTGGTATTTTATCTTTCTAATAAAAAAAAAATTTACACTTTTTAGTTAGTTCTCATTGACTTCGTTATTAGAACTATACGACGGTAAATTTCGCAACCTTGTCATTTCATTGAGGAAGTTTATATCATGAGTATTATGAAACAACTTGCGGTGATCTAAATTACTGATTATTAGTCCCTCTAGAGACCTCACTCGGCTCTAAGCTACATATGCTTGACCTTAGAGCAAAAATTCGTGAACTTCCTGGGGAAGTCAACCATTGCTCGGTCTAAATTAGTTCATGGCACTTAAAAGCTTATTAATTTGGGAATGGCTCACTATTTCTAAAAGCGGTCTTCGCACACTTCTAATATTTTTGAAAGACCTATCCAACAATATCCCACAATATAGGGAAATCGAAAAAATTAAAAAATCATCTCCACTTTACATGTAGCGGAGGTACCCTAAAAATATTTTTTAATGCAGTTGCTCATAAAGCGCTATTTTTTTAATCCAATGTAAACACCGAAAGTGAGTCTTTAAACACGCGTTAAATAAAAATGTACTGAAATCCTTTACTGCACACGTGCTTAAAAGTATTTTTTTTTATTTTTTTTGGCCGATCACCAAAGAAATAAAAAAAAATGATGAAAATATGTCACACTTTAGAGGCAAAAGTATTTCAAGGAGCCTAGAACGAATATTTTCAAATAAGAATGTATGACACGAAAACATGTTCAAATATCACGTTTAATTTTAACAAATAATTTTTACCTTTAATACATACTTAGTTTTATTAACCTATATATTTGTTTTATTTCCTCGCAAAAAGCATTGAAAAATGTTGTAAGAAAATTGTAAGAAGATTCGTGCCAATTTGGCCCTTATTCGTAAAACCTTACTTTCCGCACTCGTATCTTAAATAACTATTTCTTGATTTTAATTGGTTGCAGAGAAATCAATATTATTATAAAACTATTAATGAATACGTATAATGCTTTCGTGATTGTGTGACTATATGTAGAATCTGAGACCCATTTAGATTATTATACATTTAAATCTTAACAGCTACTTTTCTTTAGTTTTTTTTTTGATTAATTAATGATAAGGATGTCAAGGTCATTATATGACTGGTTCAAAAATCATTGCGTGACGCCATTAAAAGTTCCTGACGTGCAGTTTTAGTAGTAAGAAAATCATAAACTTTTTATTTATATATTACAGATAGGTATGTCTTGTTTAGTAGGTGTAAATGAATATATTTCGACTAAAACGAGGCTAAAACTAATTATACCGTGACTGGGAATCATATTCTTAACCCATTTTATAATTAAACGCCATAAAACCAGCTTATATTAGGCTGTTAAAAGTTAAATTACGTGTAATTTAAAGCTGTAACATTAATTTTTATATTAGAGAAGATTTAAATACTATTTAAAAAAGAAAATTATTTTACCTAGCTGAATTTGTTACTGAATGAAAATCTATCAAGTCTTAAGATGACACTTTATTGAAGCGGATCGGTGTATTAATTATCTAGTTGAATCCTTTTATTTTCCATGACTTTTCTACATTTATGCTTATGCTCTCAACAAGACATTTATCATATTTTTTTGAAAAAATAATTTCGCAGTCAGTGGTGAAGAGCGGAAAAGTGAGACTGTGGACTGGCGTCTCAGTGCCGCTAGCTTCCGGCCCGTTTCGCTTCATAAAATTTCTATTGATTGCACAATAAAACCAAAAATAGAAACACAACTTATGTAATGCCTGTTTTGGTGTACGCCTTCAAGTACTAGGTTCATATTCTTAATGAAAAATGCTTAAAAAATCCACTCGGTCCTTGGCACCCTGAGATGGGATTCGAACTCATGACCTTTCGCAATCCGGGCTTCCTTTATAAAAAGTTATTAACTTTCTTGTAGTATTAATAAACATTCGACAACATTTATTGCTAAGATCCCAAAAATTATATTATCATAAGAAAAACTCAACAATTAACCGAAACGAACAGCAATGGAAGTTTGTGCAACATTAACCATACAAATATGACATTCATTAGAGTTTAAAGGCGACATTAAACCTTAATGGACGTTTGTACAACTGACCGTTTAAATCACAAAGACACCTTATAGTTAGTAATTATATTATCGCTACTGAACTCGTGTAGCGAAGGCGGGAAGTTGTGCGACATATATCAGAAACTCATTTCGAGCCTGGTGTTAAATTAATTCCATGACTCGATGTGTAGTTGATAAGCGCCGCGGCCCGCGATAGTTATTGTTAAGCAACTTTCGATCAAGGGTCGATCACGGGATGGGTGATCATAATTTACCCTATTATCTGTATCAATGTGTAGGACCGTGGCCCATCCCCCTTAACCTTCCATAAGGAAGGTCTGAGCCGCTACAGTGGGGACATAAAAGTCTGATGATAACCAGGGGCCAATTTTCTCATTTTGTTTGTGTTACAAACAAAGTGAGAAACTTTACCTCCATAAAATATTATAAATACACTCGTTACATCTTAATAAAAAGTTCCATCAACCATTAAGTTAAGAGTGATTGACTTTATTTTTTATTAATTATTAATCGATTTTTTTTTTATTAATCGATTGTGTATTTTTTGCAGGATATCGTATGCACCGGATGAAGGCAGATACGACCTAATGGTGTCCAATGTTTCGTACGAGCGCGACAATGGGAAATTCGAGTGCCGTGTGAAAGCTGGCGGGTCAGGGCGCGCGCTTCACTCGCAGGGTCACGCCCTGGTGGTACTGACACAACCTCGCGCACCAGTGCTGTCGCCAGGGCCCCACGCTCAAGCGCAAGAAGGAAGGGAGATCAAACTATCCTGCTCTAGCTCGGGAGGTTCGCCTGAACCTTCGATCAAGTAAGTTTAAATTCATTTGTTTACAATTTAACCAACCCCCCAATTAAAATATATCATTATTATACTCAATTAAAATAAATAATTTTTTGTGCCTAAATAAATATCAATATCGTAATATTAATTATTTTTACCAATCTCTAAAAACGTGCAGATAAAATTGCACCTGCTATAACGAGATCTAATTATTAGTAAGCAAAGATTAACGAAATTAAGTAATTTAGTTTTATTAATTGTTCTTTTAAATTTTCTATCTCGAACAATCTAACTTTATCATTCAATATATAAACAATATTATTTAAATGTAATATAATACTTTGATAAATTTTAAACCTAAATGTACCTCTAATGCATATACAAATATATGTAATAGTTCTGACCTTTTTGTTCCTTTCAATTCAATGCGATATTGAATTTATTCGATATATCTACCTACGATCACCATCATTTCAGATATTTAAATTATCTTCGATTACTACGGGTAAATACTTCATGTGACTGTTATTTCTTTGTGTTGACATTATAAGGATCGATCTCATTCTTTATGTATGTCTGTCAAATGTACTTTAAATATAACTTATTAATAATATATGTATCTATGATATCAGTTGTTGTAATAGTGTTTTGAAGTCGTTTATTTGTTTAGATGGAAGATGGATGTTTAAATAAATTGATGAAAGATGGAACAATTTCGGGCGGACACGACATACGGCTTTGTTTATAATGTCAAGGTCTATAAATATTTCTATAGTCTACTATAGTTACAATTCATATATTCATATATGTTGTACAATTTCGGTACAAAATCTCAGAAACTGTGGGAAGACGAAATAAATACACACTCGCAGAACGAAGACATTAATTTTATATCAGTTTTGTTAATACATATGAAATGACAGCAATATTTTATTATCGCGATGTTATTCGCCATAACGCCGTCTACATTTCAAAAATAATATCAGTAGCAACACATATAAAAAGCTTATACAGCTTAAAGAGGTGTGAACACTTTTTACTCAAGTTTAGTGCGTCTAACAGCCAGTTGCACAAACGTTCATTAAAATTTTCATTAGTTTAAAGCGACATTACCCATACAAATTTGACTTTCATTAGAGCTTAAAGATGTCATTAAACCTTAATGGATGTTTGTTCAATTGACCGTATGTCATTAGTTCATATGGTATTGGCAACCTTACTCCCCGCAGTATTAAAGTAATTTGTTAAAATCGAAGTAGGTTGGTTTATAACGCAGTGATGTACTTTAAAAATGAGTATCTTCCAACTGGCTTGTACAAAGGAATAAAGTATATCTAAGCTGTAATTTAAAATGAGAACCTGTTTCTTTAATAGCCAATAAAAGAATTATTACATTTTCTCTATGGAAAAAAGTACAGATTTACCCCTAAAATTCACTATTATTGATTCCTTGTTGTAACTATACCTACCTCTTTTTATAGAGAAATTTAATAAATACGTGAGTTATTGTGAAGTTGAAGAACTTGCGAACCATTTATAGAATAATTATAAATCATAATTTTCTGCCAGTAACGAAAAATGGAATTGTTTTTGACACGCTATTCGCCATTGCTAGGCGCAATGAGATAAATAGACAATATTTTGGATTTACATACCCCCCTTATTGTTTTCGATTTGCGATTGCGGATATTATAGGTGTAACTTTCGCAATGACCAGCTGTCAAGCGGGCAGACAATATTTGTTATCTGGAGCTTCTTCCTTAGTCTAGGTTGCATCTGCATTCGTAACTGTTAGCATCCATCGATTTGCCGTTCTCATTTTTATATTCAGATTTTACTTCACATTCATATTGTTAGTATTAATTCGCTAGTAACATAGTATTTTTAAATGTTACTTCTATTATAGATTGTAAGGTTTGAACTATTTGTCATTAGTTCAATATTATTAGTGCAAGGTCTTCCTCACACATCAATGATGAACTTCTATTAGATTCAATTAAATTTAAATATTACGTTGGATTCAATTAGAGATGTATTGGCCTTTAGGTAGATTATTCTGTAAACAGAACAATTGGCGTGCTGAATGATTCAAAAATATTTAAATATGTTTAATGAATAAATTATTTTGACACTAACTTTCTCCCCGTGTCCCTTTATATACGCAACATCACGTTGTTGAGATTCTCTTATTATGGACCCAGACTCTTAGACAATATAGAAAAATACACTTTCTACATTGACCCGATCGGAAATTGAACCCGGGTTCTCAAAGATGGCGACATCACGAAACCAACGTGCGAACCAGTCGGCTACGGAATTCGTATTTTTTTTAATTTTGAGCTAATGAGGAAGATTACGTTCATACTTAAAGTTAGATTTTATCTGAAAGGGGCAGTATAAAGCTTTTAGTCGCAATACGGTACATAGAGCGATAGCTTTCATAGGCTAAAATTGGCACCTCGCACCGACGTATGTGTCAAACAGTGCGCCCGAATAGAATAGATTGCAGGCTATGATGCATCGACGTACATCTAAAAGTTTAATTAAAATATATTATAAAACACATTTTTATATTCAGCAGTTTCTTAAAAGCAAAACTAATTGATTAAGCGAATATTGTAAAATAAATGAAATATTGTAATTTTACCATAACTAAATTTACTGCTGAAGCTTGAATAAATCTATGAAGTAAGAATTAACGTTTTGTTTATGACCAAGAAAAAAATAACACTTTCTAAATCAAACAGTCACGCTATAGCCTTAAAAGTGTATCGCGTCAATAATCTTGAATTACCGAGCTATGGTCACGTTCTCCACCTTCCCATTATTACATATTAAGAATGGCCTACAAGAAAGATAAAAAGCTGATAAATGTGGTGATAAATTTACGGTAGGCAGTGAGTTGGATTCAATTAGAGTTAGGGAGAGAAGGCAAGGATACGGTGCCCGCGGGCGGTCGGGCGAACTGACCGACATAAGCACAGCATCATTGTTAAATTCGGATAAAGAGGTGCGTATCGATTTACAACTAGATATTATTTTCATGCTTGGTGGCGTAGGGGATAAGCGCCGCGGCCCGTGATCGTTGTTGTTAAGCAACTTTCGCAGGGGTCGGCCACGGGATGGGTGACAAAAAATTTATATCATAAAGAAGGGCTGAGTCCCTGCAGTAGCGATGTAACAGGGCTGATGATAATGATAATTAGTTTTCTTGCACAATTCCTTATCTGTTATTAAAGTCCAGTCTCGTGTGTTTGACTCCCTATTTGAAAGAGATAAACAAAAATTAAAGAGCAAATTCACGTGACGATTTAAGTGTATAAACATGCCCGTCTATGCGATACTGAGACGAGTCATTAGAATTAAAAATTAAGATTGAATGGATACGTAGCTAAGAATATTCAAATATATTACTAAAAATTAATCAGAGTCCACCCAAGCTCACAAATTAATCTTCTGGTCAACAAACTTGGTTGACTAAGATGTTAATTAATCAATAAGGAATAATTACAGTCATTTTTTAAAATAGAGACATTATTTAAAGAATCATTATCAGACATGCATACTTTATTTTTTCAAAAATAAAAACAAAAAATTTTCAAAATTAATTATTTATAATGACTTAAAGAATTATCACCAAATTCAACTTTCTTTTAAATCTAAACGAGAATCAGCTTCGTCATGCTTGCATTTTAAGTATATAAATATTAACTTTATATCTCTGTTCTGAATTCACGCATTACAGCTTTAGATAATAAATCATCTAAGATTGCAGTTTACTCTTTCTTTGTCGCTCTCACAATAAGCCCTTTTTATTAAAGAGAGAACTTCAAAATTGATATTATTGATTATTCGAGTTACCATACAAAAAATAATTTTCGCGGCGAAATGAGAACCTCTTTCAATTTTTAATAATACATTTCTATTATACAAACTTGACTTTTAACGCCCAAAGCATGATATGAGCACTGAAAGTAAACGATATGTATCGCTGTCGATAGACCTCCTTTTTATCTTTATAATATATTCTTTACGTTTGTCACCTCTTTTACTTTTATTGAAAGTAAACGATTTGTATGGCTCACTATAGAACTCATCGTTCGTTCGTATTGTATAACTAAATACAAATTTTGTTATCAAGTCACACGATAACGTTGAAACAGAAAAATTGATGATTTGGTACTGATAGATTTGTTAATATATTATCCAATGTCCAATAATATAGAATCCTTTTAATCTCGCAGAAAGGTTCCCGAGGGATAAAGATTTTGAAAGTCACGTAGGTGAATTCGCGTGAAGAAATAAATATAAAAATATTTTGGGAATAATCTATATCTATACTAATATTAAAAAAAAGGAAAGCTTTGATTGTTTGTTTGTTTATTTATTTATTTAATGAATAGGGCCCTGTAACTACTGGACCGATTTTTTTAATTCTTGCACCTACGGAAAACTACATCATATGCTGTGAATATAGACAATATTTTATCCCGAAAAACTAGAAATAAAGGGATGAAAATGGGAGTGGAAGTTTGTATAGGGAAATAAACAATTTTTTACTATTCCATTTGTCATTGTAATTATATTTGGATATTGAATCGATATCCAAATAAGCAGTTCCCTAGGGACTTGCTAGTAATTAATAAATAGTTAGATAATGAAAACAATAGACTAATAATATTTCTATTGATGCAACATTTTTATTAGAACAAATTAATTTTCGCATTCCTGGTAACCGAGAATGGAACCCATAAAACACTGTTCGATACTAAACCCAGTAAAACATGTTATTCTTGGGATGGTTTTATAAAGAGAGTTTCTGTTTTGTACAATTATATATCATAAAAGTAGATATATCTAGCTTACCATAAAATAAATTCAAAATTCACGAATCTTTTATGTACAGTCTAAATTATTTCCAGGTATAAAATTTCATAGTTATTTGTTATTAAGTTAAAAAGGTATTTGGTTTATAAGTATGCTATAATTAAAATAATCAATGTGTAAAAAATGTCTAAGTGTTTAAATAAATAAAAAAAACCTTGCTTTGAAAAATAACATTGTAGTAAAATGAAAATATAATAGTGTCGAATCCTATTTTCCTATAAAATGCCACAAGTTAGGTTACAAGTATGTAAGCCGTAATAATTGATATTTTTGAATAGAATGATTTCGCCTTGTTCTAAATTTAAATAAGATCCAAATACAGTTTCGTTTCTCCTTTTCCTGTTGCAAAAGTCCATAAATTTCACATTTTTATGGCGTAGTTTTGAGGTCAAACAATAGCCTGATGCAACGTCACGGCTGAATTTATTTCAGTAATTCGTCCTCGGAAAAATTATCATGACTTCTTGCGACATTCGCATCATCGTTGCTCTACGGATCGACTGCCGTGTAACCTAAGAATGTACATGAAACAACAAATCGTATTATCAAAAAGATCATATTTCTACAAGCGATTTTGTAAATTATCTCTTCATTTCATAGCCAACAATATCAGTTTTGTATTACCTAACGTAATGTTGACTGTACACACACATATTATCAATCTTTGTAATGGATGCCGAAATGTGAATGAGTTGTATTTATTTTTCTTCCATTTGTTTGAAGAATCTAAATAGCTATATTATAAGCATCTGTGTATATTATTATTTATAATACATTCTATTGTAAGAAGTATTTGTGTCTTTTTGATGTGATGTTTAAATATCTACGATATAACGAGCCAATAAAATAAATAAATAAATACATTTTCTATGAAAGTGGCGGTATATCAAATTCCAATATAAACTCACTTTAATTACATGAAATCGAGCTTATGTAATATGTAGTCAGGGAAAACGGGCTAAATTGGAATACTGATGAGAAAAATCGTTTTAATAATATGAGATTGAAAATGTTTATATGGAATAGCTAAAAATTAATGTTATAATTATTGTTTTATTTAACATATTCTGTCTTATATGGTGTTAAATAATATACTTTTTTATTATAAGTTTCACGTTTTTTTATTATTTTTGTCATGCATGTCGAATGTCCTTTACACCATGATCAAATAAGCATCGATTTCCTTTTTTCTCAAATAAAGATATCTGACGATTTTGACATAAAGACGATTAAGCGCCATGGGGTTCTAACTTATAAAATTTTAATAAAGAACTGTAGTTAAAATGATTAAGTTCTACACTACTGGAACGTGTAATGACTATGTTATTATAATAGAACCGATAAAGCAAAACTTTTTTTCTCTGTCTCTCTCTTTTACACTCTCTTAATCTCTTTCAAACATTAAAACGTAATCACATCGCTGAGATAGGAATCGTGTGAGTCGACTGAACATTCAAAGAATAGTACCGCGTTTGATTTTGTTCTGCTTACCAGTCACGCACACAATAATACTTCCCGTTTTGCCCGGAGCCTCATCTTGCCCGGTTTCCCTAAATTAACGTACTTCAGTTTCAATCATCTCAAGCCATATAATAGTTACCAATCAACAATCATATCAATAGAAACATATGAATAAGGGACTTTATTTGTGTTTATTTAGCAATTTATAGTATGTTTTATCGGATTCCATGACTGATATAACCATTAAAATTTATGAATACTAAGTTATCTTGATACGATTAAAATTAAAAAAAGAGGTATCCATTCATGAAATAGATAAAGACTACCATATTGCGAGGTAAAAACTATTTTAAATTAACCGTTTGCAAAATATTACTATTATTGTAAAACATTACGACTATTATATCTTCTATAATTCTTATTTATCTTTATTACATTTTATTTCAAAGAAATTAAAAAAATATCCAGTAAATAACCGATCATATATTAATGCTTCAATAAACTTCATTACATCATACTTCGTTCTAACAACATTTGTCAGAATAATGGTTAAAAAATTTACTTCAATTTGGAACTGTTCCAAAGTGATTCTAAAGGATATTTTAATTGCCCCGCAACTGTTGCAGATATTTACTGCAAAAAAGCACTTAACTATCTTCGTAATAAATTGTTAGTTACATTAACAGAATAGTTGATCGTTATATTTATATTAATTATAATGTTGACGGTTTTCCAATGACTTTCAAGTAATTGGTGGAAAAGTGTCGCGATAAACGGTGTCTACAAAACCGAGAGTGTTTGGTCCCGACAGCTCCTGTCCACGATAATGTATCGTTCCTGTCGTTCAATTGTGATCGTGAGTAAGCTGATTTTGGCGAAGCCTAGAACGTGATTTGTCAAAAACAACAAAGAATTAGCTGATATTTATTTTCGTATTTCAACACACATTTTTCCATTATATCCTTTTAAATTATTTGTCAACAATAAATAATGGTGATCGATTGTTTGAATCATTGATCTGTTTCATACAGATTATAGACAAAAACCTTCACTATTTATGAAGCATGACTTTTTCTGTTTTTTCATGATGTACCTAATTGATCAAATATATTATTTTCTGTGCAGGTGGTACAGAAATGGAGCGACTTATCCGTTAGAGGCGGCTGTTGTTCACGGGAAAACACGTGCGGAGGCGTCGACTGCTACGCTCACACTGATACCGACCAGAGAAGACGATGGTGCTACCTTCCGCTGCATGGTCTGGAATCGCGCTATGCCAGAAAACAACCAACTGGATGCTACCGTTGAGCTCAGTGTTAATTGTGAGTACCTAACTAAACCTTTTTTGGAATGAATTATGCGCTGTCCGTACCATTTGATGGGCGGCAGGAGGAGGGGGGTTTCCATCAGCACAGACCAGCCTGGAAGCTAATCAAAACGTGGGTAATAACCCACTAAATTCTCTCCAATACACCATAACTTTTGGGGGAAGGGCTTGGGACACAGAATGGACAACTCATACCTAGCCCTTGTATTACCCCCCTAAATTTACCTAGTTTTTGTCAGTATAATCACCCTTCTCAAGGTAATAGACAAATATTAATTTCTTAATACATTGTCTTTTTTACTGCATACCAAAAGAAACATATTCAAATCCACTTTAATATTAAATTTATTTAATTTCTCTCATAAAACAACTTTTGAGATTTGTCTTGTTCAAAATGCTTTCCACAGTTTCACTTAAACACCAAAGGAACAAAATGTTCATGACATATGTATATAGGGCGTATTCAGGAGCCAAATATTAAGCGTAATATCTGGAAGAGCGCCAGTTCAAAACGATAACCCCAACCGCAACCGAGCCCAACAAAAATGTAGAGATAAATAGTCATCTTAAAATGATAACAATTTTTTATTTATCGCTTTGGTATTTGTTGAAAATCATTAGCCTGATATTTGTATATTTTATATATACAAAGCAATATTTACCATAATTACAAAGCAATATCTACTTATTAATTCAAGATAATTTCGTAAGGACATTTTTTTGTAATGATCGATGACCATTAGTACGGAAATGGATCGAAGCCGTATCAAATTCGTATCGAGCAAAAATTTCAAGTTTCTGTATTGAAAATCTTAGTTCCTTTAGCGGAGCCGGAGCGTCGCGTAAATATCTAATACAGAAATCTAATAACGCATTAGATATTTTCCCTGCGGTATATCTTTTCGTACACAGCGTTAGACTTTAACCAAATAAAATCTATTTCAATAGCTAATAGAGATTTTATTTAATTGAACTGTATTATTTCAAAACACGAAAGCTGTTTGTAGAAAAAACAAGGGCAATCATAATTCACAATTTCCACTAAACTTATTTAAAAGTATGCCCAGCGCTTTTACTCAACGTTCCTTTGCGTATAAAGTAAAATTATTAGCATTACTATGTCATCATCATCATCATCAGCCCTTTTACGTACCCACTGCAGGGGCTCAAGTCTTCCTTATTATGGTTAAGAAGGATGGGCCATAACCCACCACGCTGGCCCAATGCAGATCGAAGGGTATTAACGACTACAAATGCAGCTGGGACCAACGGCTTAACGTGCCTTCCGAAGCACGGAGTAGCTCGAGATAATAATTTTTTGGTCACCCATCCCGTGACCGACCCTTGTGAAAGTTGCTTCACGACAACGATCGCGGGCCGCGGCGCTTATCCTCTACGCCACCGAGCTACTTACTTACTAGCATTACTATGTAATTACATTTATTAATAGTTAATATAAAGCCGTTTAAATACAAAACAGATTAGATTAGTAACTGAGATTAGTCCGAATGAGATACGTTAGATTCTACTATAAATTCTTTGGATCACATGTATGAATGAATTGTTTATTGAACACGAATCTGTCATTGTCGGCGCAGTGTTCGAAAGACCACCCGAGATGATCACATCCCAGATGCTAAGAAGCATTTGTTTTAGTTATTTTTGTATTTAAAATCAGTAATTTTATACTACAAGATCTTCTACAAACCAACTGAACTTTAGCAGACCGTTATTCATAGCTTCATCTGTTTCGTTGCTTGTTTATGCTGCCGCTTCATCAACAAATACCAAAAACAAAAAAAAAGAGAATAATCAAGTACGCTCCCATACAACTGACATGATTTTTTACTTATTTTCGGTACGGAACCATTCGTGCGCGAGTACAACTCGCTCTTGACAGGTTTTTGCTTTATTATTACCAAATATGTAACGTCCTTATTAGTGGCTATTATTAGTAGAAAGGAAGTTATCCTCTCCAAATATGGGTAAATCCGGCCAACTCCTATTGTATCAGGTTGAATACATTCTGTTAACAGTATTATTTTCACCATTTTTCTTGATAAATCTGTTTCCTTAATACTGTAATTTTTTGTACTAATATTTAACTTAGAATAATAGTTATTTATGGGTTTGCTACTATATACCTTTCAGTTACTCTATTAATCATGCGAATCAGAGTGCCGAAAAAATAATCATAATATTTATTATTATATAGAAAGTGTGGATCGATGGCGTAGTGGATGAGGGTCGTGGCCCGCGATCGTCGTCGTCAAGCAACTTTCGTTAGGGTCGGTCACGGGAGGTTACTCCATGCTTCGGAAGGCACGATAAGCTGTTAGTCCCGGCTGCATTTGCAGTCGTTAATATCTCAGCATTGGGCCAGCGTGGAGGGTTATGACCCAACCTCCTTAACCATACACAAGGAAGGCCTGAGCCCCTGCAGTGGGGACGTAACAGGGCTGATGATAACGAAAGTCATCAGCCTGTTTCACATTCTAAATAAGTAGGAATATTTCATTTATTCACAAATAATAACAACTTAAATTACGCTAAAGTTCCCAAAATGGCTGCAGACGTCCTCTAATTCCTGTTATCCCAGAGACCCAATTTATATGTTACTTTATTTTTTTGTAGATTTAATTTAATTTTATATATTTATTTAAAGTAAATTTGCCAAAGGAATGTCGGAGACTTGATAAAAATCTTGGCTGCTTATTGGCTTGGTTATACATCTAACCAAAAAATATATTTTTTAATTTCTGTGCCGCTACCCAATAGTGTCCATAGAAACAACCAATTAGAAACAGTTACAATTTCTAGGTAGGAAATTAAATTACCAACCGAGTTCTATTATTAGACAGAAAAATACCTTTTTTTAAAATAACCTTTTCATTATTTGTTATCATAGTACAAAGCAGTACAAGTTACAAATGATATTATTGATAGTTAAAGATAGATAGACAGATAGTTAATTTGATGCTATAATTTTAGTTAGCGATCGATTGTTTTGAGTACGAACTAGCCGTAAATTAAAATCTTTTAATCTATATATACTTATATATATATATATAAGCGAAAAGTCACTCACTCACTTACTCATTCACTCACTCATCACAAAATCTTAGAAACTACATGTGCTAGGAGTTTAAAATTATGCATGCGGGTTCTTTTTAGGACGTAGGTACTCACTAAGACGGGATTTTACGAAATTGAATTAGGTACATTAGGGGATGAAAGTTTTTATGGAATTTTCTAATTTCTGGACTTAAAACTAGATCACGCGGACAAAGCCGCTGGCGAAAGGCTAGTTATACATATAAGCGATTTTTTATTAATATATACCAAATTGGTGTTACGTTTCCTAACGAACAGTATTTACGAATAGTACCTGTTTATTATTCTTGTCACAGTGCCGTAAGTAAAAACTTTATTTTCAGCATACCCAGCAGAGCAGGATATATGTATAAAAGAACACCGTCTGTTTTCATATTCGCCAGTGGACAAACTAAAAAATAACTTTTGTTCGAGCTTTGTACGGTATCAAATTGTTAGAAACAATAAAAGTCCCATATAGCATGCAAATCTTATTTGTGAGTGGTTATTACGTAAATGTCGAACGAAATACACGTAGACTGCAAATTTTTGAGTAGAACGTTTTGTTATATTGTTTAGTTAGACAAATAATTTTATGATTATATTTTATAAATATTACATTCACGATGCTGTATTTATATATATATATGAATATATTATATGTAAAATTTTAAGAATACGTAATTTTGTAACAAACTGATTTTTTAATTCCAAAATATTCTTTTATACGATTTCGTTTATATATACCTATGAAAACAATACAGACAATAATTTAATATTCTATTCATTGCGGTAAATAATATCCACGTTTCTTTATCTTTTTGAAACATGCCAACATCAAAGATAAATAAGAAAAAATATATTCTTAATGAAAAATCCTTAAATAATCCACTTTATCCCTGGCACTCTGAGATGGGACTCGAACCCATGACCTTTCGCAATCCGGGCGACTGCTCTAATTTATTACAGAGCGTATTTTCCATTAAGAATATTTTTCAGTATAGCATTGTGAATATAAAATTGTTAAAATATTATAAAAAGATGTCTATAGACATGCTACTTATGATATACGTTATGAACCAGCACGCGTAGCATTACAAACTCGAGAAACGCTTTGTCTACACTCATTTGTCAGTTTCTCGGGTCGAGAGTGAGATATAGTATGGGCCATGTATGGGCGCACCCGAGAAAAGTGACATTTAAGTGTAGACAAAACGTTTTCGCGTTCGTCATGCTATGCGTGCAGGAGGTTGATGACCGATTTTTGTTAATATACTTACTGCTGATGAAAATAAAATAATCAATTTTTAAAATGAAATTTAAAAAAAATTGTCCTACGTATCTCTATTGACGACACTGAATTATAAAATTGTGTATTATAACTATAATCTGACGCTTGGACGGTTATTCTTTTCTAAAATTTCTTTTCGGGTGTGCTGAAAGAAGAATGAATACCAAATACACCTTGACATCCCAGCACAACGTCTGGCTTTCTCTTTTAAAGTTGAATATATCACCGTTTAGCTTACTCTGACTTGCGTAGTTTTAAAGTCATAGAGTGGGATAGAGCACGTCGAAGCTCATGTTAAAGGTATCTAAAATTAGACTTAGAATACGTTAGCTACTCTGAATATTTAATTTGTTTTTTATCGGTTTTTATCAAATGACAAATATTTTCCATTGCTTCAAGAAATTCATAGAAACAAATCTAGAGTATACCTAAAATACGTCTAGGCAAACCGTTATTTGTTTGTGGTCGAATTTAAAATACTAATATTATCTTATTTTAATTACAAGTTGAATTAGAATAAAATGGATTTTTTAAGCCAACTAGCTTATCTAAATAAAAGTTTATAGGTTATTTGTTAGATTTTTTACAATTTATAATAAAAGGTATTATTA